AGCAAAGACAACACTCAAGAGCGGGATCAGATCTATATCCTCTGCCCCAGGACACAGCTAGGGGAGAAACAGGTATTCTGTACTAAGAATAACATAACATGGGGTTACATGGGGTCTGTTGGGGTCTTCTGCCCGATCTCTCAGCTATTCAACACCCTGAAATAGAGAGGGGGTCAGCAGCTGGCCAAAGCCAGAGGGAATCTTCTGGGATTTTGGTTATGTTTGGGAGCACAGACAGCCTTGTGGTGAGAGGGAGTTTAAACAGAGCTGTCCAGGTGATGGGGTTGGTCCGTGTTCTTTGGCCCTCCAGATGCAATGGGCTTATGAGAAGAAATGGAAGGAAGAGAGGTATTGCTGTCTCACAAAAACTGGGGGTGGCAGGTGTATAATACAGCAGACTGGATGCATTTATGAGCACTGCTCCCAGGATTGTATTCTTTTGTTTGCCTTTACTTGAGTGGGTGTATCTACAGTTCATACAAAATTGCTTCTGTTGTAGGCATGTGTTGCTACCATCCCTGGGCCGTGCTTCCTGCTGGAGCAAACCAACCAGGGCAGCGCAATTCTTGTTGCTGAGAACGTAAGAAAAGAGTAGGAAATCTGTCTGTGCTGGCTGGAGTTTACAGTCTGGTTTCTTCCATGTCTACTTTCACTCGCCATTGGAAAGATGCGCCCATGTGGCGAATGAAGAGGCTGCTGGGCCTGGTATTCCTGAAGGATGAAATGTCGGTCTCAACATGTTTCAGTTGGCATTGATAAGCTGAGCCAGTTCTCAGGAAAGGGTACTCCTGATGCTTAAAGCAGTGTGGTAACTTCATGAAGAATGCCTGTGCGGCTTCCCATAGCACCTGGAGAGCAAAGAGACAAGCAGGTGACTGGTTCTGCAGGAGTAGTATCTCCATGTATAGTTTAGCCCTCAGCTAAGCTTATGGAATGGACAGGGTTGGAGGTAGGGCACCTTTTGAGGATCTATTAATGACTTCCCTTGCTGCCTTGAAGGTTTTTAACCTTAGAACACAAGGCAAAGCTTGTCTTTTCTCTCGGGGTGACTTTGTTAGGTAGATTTAGGTAATGCAATTGGGCCAAAAAAGCAAAAGATTAATCAGGAACCAACCAATAATCTTGTGAATTTTTTTTCCCAATCTGAAACAAGGAATGAAAAAGTAATTTGGCTTCAAAATGAAAGGAAGTCTTATAAAAAAAGAAAGGAAATAGTAGGCTGGTTCATATCTTCTCTACCTTATTAGGTAATCATTATCATTACTTTATTAGCTCAGTCGTTAAGGCTGCAGAGAGTATAAAAATGTGCAATTCCTTCCTGTGCTCCAGAAGTTTCATACTACATTTCCTGGATAGTTCTTTACCCGTGAGCTTCTCAGCTGGTTTGAGATGCCAGTTTCATCAAGTAATGCTGTTCCAAATCATATATTAACAAATGTCTCTAGTACAGGTGACTGGAAGCAGATGTCTCACCTAAACAGAACAACAGTCATTTCTAGCTCCTGCTCTAGTGCCGTTGGTACTTAAGTGCTCTGTATAAGCTACAGTACTGTCAGCATGAGAGACTGGCATCACCCGCTGCCACCTTCAGACCCCATGGCCTAGGGACTAGGATGTTCTCCTGGGGGGGCTGACCGTGGGGCTTTAGCTTGCCCTAGAGAGAGGAAGGAACTGGCTTGTTTGATGGGAGAGTGTTCGAACACCTGGGCTCTGGGATTAACAGGGTCAGTACTATTCTCCCCTCCTGATTTATGAATTTGTTCCCCTAATTGCTGTTTTTTCCAATATAGGGCAGCTATTTCATAATGAAGTATTTACTTCTTTCCCTGAATAAGTCATTTCCTAACATAACAAGGAAAACTTGAGAAGGCTTTGGAACATGAGTGAAGTAGTCTCTGCCTCTAGGACTAACATATGACTGCCTTCCCTGTGGGCCACCTTGATATCTGTCATGACAGGGAGCTCAGGAAAAAGAAACAGAAATTGCTTACAGGGATAGCAGGAGTGACCCTCTCCTGGGAAGTAGAAACATGTGGAGTGTTTCACTCCTGCCTGGGGACAGGATACGAGCAAAGATGTAAGGAGTGTGAGTACTGAGGAACAGAGCGTTATTTGGGGCTGGTCAATTATCAAGAGTAATGGGATCATGCTAAGAAGAGGTTAGATTGAACCTCCAGGAAATCATCTCCCTGTGCAAGGTTGTGCAAAGCCATCCTTGGGGATGTTTCAGCTCAGTGGGGGCAAGGCTCTGAAGACAGGGTGTGGGAAGCAGTTCTATGAAGGCAGAAGGGAGGGATAAAATAAGATATTGCATCATCTTTCTGTCTCGTGTCTTCTCAGATTCTAAAGTCCAGTGAGAGCTGGTGGTGGGATCTCTTTGCACTGCCACTGGGGAGAAGGATGGAACTGGACAATTGCTCCTCACTAGAAGAGCTCTCTCCTAAATTCCCCAGCTCCATTGCACTTCTAACTCTTCTGATGAACAGAAGGGTGCAGATATAGCTGAAAGCCCAGATGCAGATATCACCTATATGGCTGCAGTTCTCATTATAGCAGTGGATATTATTGGGCTCAGATCAGTGTAATCTTTAGCTTCTCACAGACTGCAAGCTCCAGGGAGAGCAGTGGAGGCAAGGGGCTTTCTTCTTCTCATACCTAGACATCCTCTGTGCCCTGCTCCTTGCTCTTAGAAGAGTAGATTATTCACAGGAGAGTTAGGTGAGGGGCATAACCTGCTAGAACAGAGAGCAGATGAGGAGAGGCCCGTCTCATCTCATGGAAGTGCTTTGAAAGGAGCAGTGCAAGGCAATGAAACAACTCTTACATCTTGGAGTGTCCTGGGACAGTACATGTTGTAGGGGAGAGACCCATGTATTCTTTGTCACGGCACCCTGACTTCAAGGGAGGGGAGAATATTTATTCCCAACGCATAGAGATGAAACTTCACTCTGCAAAATGGCCAAAGCAATCAGCGAGTGATGGAGTATCTGCTAAAAAGAAACCTGGCATTTAATTAACTTTTCAAAGTGCTGGTTCAGCAACCTCCATGTTTTACATTTTGAATATTGAACAAGCGTCCCTAATCGGGACTGAATTACTTCTGGGCTTGCTGGGGTGGAGAACAAGGGAGCTGCCATTTGCCAGTGCCTCCCCCCCACGTTATTATTATGAACTCCTGTTAACTCAGCCAGATCAACCCTGATTTACTGCAGCGACAGCATGCCTGACCTGAACTTGGCCAGCTCAGGTCGGTCTCCTAACCTGCAAAGGCAACCAGGTAATCCTTACGCACGACCAGGGGGAAGAAGGACCTGTTGATCTCTCAGGGGTAGGTAGACAAAGTATAGCATCTTCTTCACTCCTTAATGTGTTGACCTCTCTACTCAGGTAAGGCAAGCTTTACCTGCAGCTGTTGGCAGAGGGGATGAACAAGTATCTGAGAAGCGAGAAAAACAGGGAGCATGGCTCTTCCTGCATCTGTGCACGGCTGTCTTTTTGGACCCAAATGGTTCTGCTTCAATGTAATGCGCTCAAGGACTTTTTGTTACATTGGTTTAATGGTCATTCAGAATTCTTTAAAGGGGCAATGTGTTACATCAAAGCTGGTGTAGGAACTGTTTTGCTCAATAACAGTGATATAGGGAAAAGTGCAGTTTTAAAATTTGCTCTAGCATTTTCTAAGCATAAGCCTTTCTTTGTCTTGCAGGTCAGGAAGAAAGCATGCGGAGGAAGTAGAAGAGTAAGTTCCCATTTTTGCTGAGACTTCTTCCACAACTTTTACATCTGATCTCACAGAGAAGGGACATGCAAGACTAAGCACCAGTACAGCAAGATCTGAAATTTGGGAAGGGTACAGAGCCTGGCATGATTTCATGTCATGTGTCCTGGCATGGGGCAGTGCTGGTCACTCTATAGTTCCCTGGTTATGGAGTAGGTAGTGTCTCTGTCACTCCCATATGACAGAAAGAAGGAAGAGTAGAAAGCATCCATTTTCCTCCCAGACCCACCCCAGGCCCTGCTGTCTGCAGCTTAGGGGTTTGTCTCAGGTACAAAAGGCACCTTGCTTAAGCATTCTAAGCTGAGATTTCTGCTGAGTCCAGCAGTGAGGGGTATGGAATAAGGTCAGTCTGCAGGCAAAGCGTATCTGAGAATTCACCCCTCGGCAGGCCGTGAAGCTTGTGGGGAGGAAAGGAACAGAGCAAGATGCTTTTCTGGGCTTGCAGTTGAAATTCTTTGTTCCTTGTATTTTGCTGTAGCCATCGTCTCAGACAGCAGAGCCTGGAGGCATCAGATGATGGAGGTAAGGTATCACCTACTTGACTGCAAGAAGTGCCTTCATGCATGTCTGGGTGTTCCCCAGTAAGGTGATCAGAGGCATCTTGTAAGAAATTGCAAGGAAATGAACCACCCTGGGGGTAAACAAGTGTGGGAGCTGCTTATGTCTCCCCAGCTGCTGAATGAGGGAGAGAGAGCAAAGGAGATGGGGAGGAGGATGAGGAAGTGAACCTGTAGTCTAACTCTGGCTCTTCATTAACCCAAAATGATAAAGCACCTTTGGGAAGAAGGAAAGTGTCGAGAACACACTTTTCTCTGTGACTACCTCCACGTGGAGAATAGTGGATTGGGGCAAAAAGAGAGGTAAAAGAGCAATAGGAGGTTAAGAGCAGGGAAAGAAATCACTGCTGTCCCCTAGTTTAGGTGATAGTATGCTCTGCTTAAAGCCTCTCATGTTTTATGGTAACATATTTGTCTTGTTCCCATCGGGACAAGTGCCTGCACCACTCTCCTGGGGTCTCTGTCATGAGGGAATTCTTAATTTAAAAAATCCACTTGCCCTAACCCAAGACCATAGATCATAAGCTAAGTGTAGGCACCATTGGGTAATCTCATTCTATCCCTGTACAGGCTGCTGTGAAATCTACTGGACTCCTGACTTAGCACTAGTTTTCTTTATAGTGTATATCATCTGCTCTTCTAGGACTGGATGAGCCAAGAGAAATCTCAGGAAAAATCCACAGTATGAATTTTGAGACGAGCACTAGAGAGCTGTGGGGAGCATAGAAATTCATTAAAGTCTCTAGGAGCTACCTCAGTTTTCAAGGGCTAAGAATTTTATACAGTGTATAAGAAGTTGCATCTGTAAAATATCACCAGGCATCGGAAGAATTACCGGGAGTCACAAAGGATCAGCCATCAGTATGGTTAATGAGATTAAATGAAGACTTATTTGGGTCTTCCAGACAGATTAAGCATTGCAACATATGACTGCCAGAAGTGGCACCTTTATAGCATTGGCATCTTCAGAATAGGCTTAATTTCCCCCTGGGGAAGTTTCTTGGGCTTCTTAAATTTCAGCGTATGTCGCTGAGGCTGATAGTCTGTTCTCAACAGCTCCGTGACTGTTAGCGTATATGCTGTCCTTCTTGTTGAACCTTGGTCTTGTATTCAGAGAGTAACAACTGTCTTTGCTAATCAGGCATAAAAAAGTGCTTGCCACATGTTTGCAGCATGTGACTTTTAGTGCTCCAAGACCTCAGGTAATACATACAGAACAGAATTGATTCAGAATGTGGTATGAAGACATGGCAAGTCCTAATGCACTTCACTTACTTATCTGTGCCTAACCTATGATTAACAGTTGAATTCGGATTGTTTGCAAACCAGAGTTCAGCTTTGGATTAAACCTATGTGTTAGAAGAAAGATCCCAGTAATCTGATCATTGTTCCTACCCAGGCAGTTTCTGGTACTGTCAAATACACTGTGTTGTGGATCTAATTTGTATGTGGAAAATCTCTAAACAGATCAGTGCATTGCATGCTTGTGGTCCTATTTCTACAGGGAGATTAAGCAAGCTATTCTGGGAGAGGAGTTTTCCATATGGGCTCAACAATTGCAATAAAGAAAAGTGGCATATAAACAAACTTCAGAACCTGAATAAAATTACTTGTTTTTTAATAAGCAGAGAGATACAGATAACTGCCCAGTGTAGAAGGCAAGGAGGAGCATGCTGTGGCTGTGCCGTAAATTGAGCTGTATCAGCCTCCCCGTCGCACAGAACTGCACTTGGGCTTGTGTCCTTAACTGTAACAGTAAAGCTCAGATTCTAAACACAACAAAAATCAAGACACTGGTGTATGGATCCCCAAGGGTGGGTCACGGTTATTTTGTGCTGCATAATGTGTTAGCTTGTACACCTTAATATGAACAGGCGCAGTTGCGTAGTGCTTGCTGCTGTCAACCAATACATTTGGATCGCCTTCCTTTAACCGATTAGAAAGCTGAGCTGTACCATTCCATTAACATTGTTTGTCCCCCATCCAACCTTTTCATTAGAAGAATGAAGGACAAAACTATATGCCCTTAAAAATGTATTCTTGTGTATTTGAAATGTGCTCAGTTGTGCTAATTTATACAGCACTAACACCCAGAGGCTTGGAATTTGGAGTCCATTGTAGAAAGTGTTAAAAAAGTGTAGGACCTGGAGAGAGCCCCATTTGGCATGTGGAGAATGGAGGGAAGGTTGTACAGCCAAGTGGAGACTTTTGGGCTTGTTATGCCTTGAAGTTTCAGAAATGAAAGTAGAATTCTCTCACTGCTCCTGGCCATTCACCCTGTGCATGAAATAGCATCTGATTCCTCATCTCCATGGGAGTTTGGGAGAGAAGGGCAGTCACTTCTCAGGCTGTGTGGGAAGACTGAAGTAATATGGGAGATTGTAAGTGGGTGGACCAGACAGGGACGTGCACAGAACTATTTGCAGTTTCAGCCATTCCTTACAGTTGCACAGGGAAACCCAGAAGGCGCAAGTCATCGATACTGCACAATACAAGCCGTTCAAATACTAGCAGTGAAGTACCTTGGCTCAGATCATACTCAGAGTTAATTCTCTCTAATCCATCTTTCTTCTTCATAGAGGCCAGTCCAGGACAAGAGAGCCACTTTAAAGAGGAGCCAGTTTTGAGTTATAGGAAAGCAAAGACATGTGTTTTACTAAAAGCACCGTTTGCTCCTGTAAAACTCCAGGCTGGAAAGACTGCTTTGAAATAGTGCAGTGTCTCTCCAGAAATAGGTCTGGAGTGTCTAGTTGATGGATATTGGGGTTTCCTACAGCACCCGCGGTAAGCTTAGTGCCGATCCTCCTGAACACACACTGGTGCATGCTAGTACACAGGCATAGCAAATGGATAACGCACCTTTGCTAGGTCGATGTGTGTCCAGCTAAACCTTGTCATGGGGTGGCCCAGCTCCTCTGCATGGTGGGAAATCTGCTTTAGCAGGATTTAATGCATCACAACTTGAGGAATAATAAACTTTCACAGGCAACATAAAAGTGTTTAATTCCTAAAGGACAGGCCTAGTTGAGTTGGTTTTGGCCAGGGGCAATTGGGGACTTAATGCTGTGTATGTAGCAATCTGGGCAATCTGAGAGAGGAGTTTAAGGGTAATTGCTCAATTTTCTGTCCATGTCAACAGGGGAAATGGGCAGCAATGACTGAGCTCTGTATGGCAGGGAAACTGCACGAGATGGGATATGTGAGGCTATCAGTGGAATTTAAAAAGTGCTATCTGCAGAGCCTTGCTCCCTTTTCTGTAGCAGCCAAGAGGTTCTCCCAAGTGCAGACTATTCTTTATCATGAAGTGGGAGGGAAGACGGAACAACCAAGTTCTTGTTGAAGGGCTTTCCCCTCCCTTTGCTCCTTTCTCCAGCAGGGCAGTCGAGTTGCTGCTTTGACTTTGCTTGGGTATTTCATTTGGCTTTACTCTGCTTATATGTCTCTCTCTGGCATGCAGCTACAAAGGGCTGTTTCCTGTTGGGATGAGAAATGCTGGCATTTCCCCCAGCCCTCCTCCCCACCCCCCCATCAGCAAACTGCTCCGTCCTTTTGGCTAAATGTTTCTTTGTTGTTCCTTTCTTGTCCACCAGTTCTGCACTGCTGGGTTGCACACCCCCAAATGGCTGTCTCCTCACTACATTGCCCTTGTTTTTTTTCTCCTCAGCACTCTATGGGGACTTGTTAGCTAAGGTTGTCATTGCTCTCCCAGCTATCCTTCCCCCATAGACTACTGCCCCATCTTCAGAAGTCCCTTCCCCCCTTCTCTCTGTTACCCTTGGGATGCATAGCTCCTGGAACCGGGCTTTTCTTGGAGGATTGGGATGTGATGCGTGATTCTCTGTCTGCAGGAACAATGGCTTGTTATTTTAAAGCAGGTAATGTGTGTGTGTGAATGAGACAGCTGATTGAAATGAAAGCCTGACTATGCTGCACAGACAATCCAGACCTGACCTGCAGGTGAGGAAAGCTGCCAGGAGACAGTCACTAGATCTGTGCCCTCAAGGCAAAACCCCTTCCTGCCTGCTGGGAAGCCTCCTCAAGGAAGCAGAGTTGATGATTAGACCTCTCTATACAATGTCAAACCTCCAGAAGGACTCCTTACCCTTCTGGCATGTGCCAGCAGTTCCTTTGCATTTGAACAGGATGGGAGCCCAGGCTCTGTGCACAACAGAGGAGGAAGTGGGCACATGCCGTGGTCCCCACATCCTTCTGGGGCGTGATGTCTGCCTGTCAGGTGGGAGACAGCCCTCACAGGGTATCCGGCACCTGGAATTCACAGCCATAAAATATCAAACACCTCTTGAGCTGCAGGTGAATAAGTACCAATGATGAAATTGCTCCAAACAGAGCTGAGTATAGGGTGCAGTGTGGATTACTGTTGGCTCTATCATTCCTGATAGAGTTTGCCAGTTGCTTCCTTGGTGAGCTGCTGTTTTTACAGAACACACCAAGTGCTGGTGGATTCCAGGGGCTGTGAGCTGCAAGGACAGCTGCACTGGGTGAGCATGAGGGTAAGAGAGGGGGGAATTTGCAGGAACAGTCAGGGATGTGGCAAGTGGGTACTTCCTGGGTTCAGGAGGCAGTGGTGCAGTGCTTTGGGGAGAGCTAAATGGACAAAAAGTTCCAAGCAACAGTGGAATTGAGATGGAGTGAAAAACATGGTGGTTTTGGAAGTGGTGTGAATGGGCTGAAGAGAGGGTCCAGGGGCAGAGAGTGACAGTGACTGCTGAGTTTCTGGGATTCTGCGCTGTGACTTTGTGCGTGGCTCTGTCAGCACACACAGTCCTCCCCTCAGCCGCTCCCCTAACGCGTTACCCTGAGTCTCTGCGCAAGGTCAGTGAAGGGCAGACTGGGCACAACCCAATGCTTTCCATTGAGCTGTTGGTCCAGGCCAGTTTGAACTCCTCCCGTGACTGCTGGCATTGTGACCTAGAGCCTCTGGTGTTCAAGGAAGGCTCCCTCCTG